TTTTTCTTGATGCTGGGCAGTGGCAGTGTAGCAGCCACATACTCATGAGGATAAATGGCCAATGCCTAGAATGTACAGTGTTGCAAAGCTGTGACATTTGCTAGCTTAGGTGTATTGAATGCATTTTTGACTCATATTTTTGACTTACAGTGAATGAGTTTATTGGGATGTACTCTTTTTTTCCCTTCTGTTTTTGCAGTATTGGGATTGAACCCAGGACCTTTACACTGAGCTATATATCCCCCCTTGTTTCTTTAAGACAAGGTCTTGCTAAGTTGCCAAATTGGCCAAAGTGGTCTCAAATTTGGGTTCCTCATCTTTGACCTCCCAGAGTGCTGGGATTACAGGCCTGGTTAGTTTTATTCAGTGTAACCTTAGCATAAGTCCAGGAGTAAATGTATAGTCTTTCTAGAAAATAACCCTTGAAATTTAAGAATAATTGCCATGTTAACCACAGGAAACCCTCCGATTCTGAAAATTTATAGATGCCATGAATTGGAAAAGGAACATGAGTGTAGGTATTAGACAAAGATTAGTGACCTGACATCAACCTCCTACCAAGAGTAACAAGAACCACCACACAGGTGTATGCACGAAACAGTTGCAAATCCAAATAAAATATGTGAAACAACAATTTCCAAAATTCCGACATCATGAAGGGCAGTGGTGCCTTAGCAACAGAAGGTAAATGGACGAGCCCATGATGGCCCTGGCTGCTTCAGTACAGTTTCTGGTTGTGCTGTGCACCGTGAATGGAGGAGAGGAGTCTCCACTGAGGTCAAGGTGGCTCAGTTCACAGGGCACAGCCTTGGAGAGGCGAGAGCTGCCCGGGGAGAGAACACCAGAGGTCCACAGAAGCTCTTCCTACATCCCCTCAGGTCTTCAGCTAACTACTGACCTGTGCGTGCATTTTAGGCAACTAACAGAGGCTGGGGGAAGACCCACCTGGAAGGAAGGGAGGGAATAATGCTAGGAAGACAGAAGTGGTTCTTGTTGCTTAGTAGAAGACCTTGTAATTCAGGAGGCATTGAACACTCAGAAGTACTGAGTCACAGTAGTGGGGCAGAACTAGCCTTACATGAAATATGGTGGTCATGTCATCTAATAGAGTATGGTTGAAGAATCAGGATGTGCTTTGTCAATCCAGCACGACCTAGAGAATTATTGTCTTTTATACTGAGTTGGAAGCCACCATTTTGTAAGCTGCACGATCACTGTGAATAAGTCAAAGGATTTCCTTGTGTGTTTTGAGGGCCACTGTTGTAGGAATTATTACTTACGTGGGTCTCGGAGTGGTGCCTTCCAAACCAAATTTCCATTTATGGCCCCTTATCTCCTACTGTGAAGACAGGGTAGGAATGCTGCCACCTGAAACACAATGGGCAGTTTCTGTATTTCCTGCCTAAGCCTTTTCCTCCTTGTTTTTTTTTCTTCTTAAATTGAATGAAGTCATTTTTCTGGCCTTTTTATTTTTAGTATTTAGAACTGTAAATTTGTCTCTAATAAGCCATCTACCTGGATTGTACAAGTTTTGTTATGGAGATTTTTTGTGTTGTTACTCAGTTCTAACTGTTGTAATTTTAATTGTGATTTCTCCTGTGTTTTTGGATTATTTAACAATCATTTATTAATTTCATTGTGTCATTTCTTATTTTCCAAACTTACGAGTTTTTTAAAAAAGTTGATTGATGGTGGTGTGGTCACTGAATGTGCCAAATTTTGTTGAGCATTTTTTTCTCATTCTATTTGTTGGATGGGGTGGTTTTATTATTTTACATTTATAGCTATTTGGGGGTTTGTCTTAGAAAACAGCATTCACACTTCACTTAGCAACACCTAAAGTTAGACAGTATCTTTATTTTCTTCTGGGGGCAACGTAAGGATCTTAGAACAGTAATTCCAGTAGCTTCCTTTCTTATTCTAGTATAGTCTTTCTTATTCTATTCAAGTATCTTTCTTTAAGTATTTTCTTTCCATCTTGTTTTCTTTTCCAATACATACCATGCGATCAATATTGTCTTATTAGTCCATTCTTGTTTAAAAGTTTCCACCTTTTTAGCTGTTAATTTCTATCAGGCTGGTAGGTTGAGATGGTCAGTCAGGACAATAAGCCAAGGTGAAAGTAATCAGCCCTAATCACTTACTGAGATAGGATAAACACAAGGCAAAAATAGGCAGTCATCTTACTGCTGAACAGCCCCAACAAAAGGCTCCTGACATTTTATGGACAGAGTACTGAAGGGAGGGAGACAGCAGTTAGAATTGGAATAGAACTAACAGTGGAGGAAAGTGTCTTCTTTATAAGTTAAGGAGGCCTCCTGGAGGTATCCGGGCTAAGAATGCAGCCACACAATGAGAGTGGCTGGCCCAAGGCCTTGACTGCCACTTCTTAATTCTCTCTGGAAAACCACTTCTTTTCAATAAGTGCAGATATATACCTAGATAATTGTCTCTTAGCACGTTGAGATATCCCACTATTTTCTGTTGCTATTAAGAGGTTAACTGTGTCACTTTTAATAGTTTTGCTTTGTTTTGTTTATGTCTGTGATGTTGGTATGTTGCTATTGTTCTTTTTTTTTTTTTTTGGTTTTTCTCCGGTACCGGGAACCGAACTCACCACCTTGCGCTTGCCAGGTAGGCGCTTTGTCGCTGAGCTAAATCCCCAGCCCCTCTTTTTTTTTTTTTTACTACTCTTTAAAATAAAAATATTGAAAAATATTCATCCTTGCTCTCTTACTTCAGAGATTTTCTCTTTGTTTTTTTGTGGCCTGTAATTTCTCCATGTCTTTTCATTCATGCTGTCTAAAATTATTGGGTTTCTTGATTGCATGGATTTGTGTATTTCATGATTTCCTAACATTTTTAATTATTTCTTCAGATAAGTCTTTGTCTCATTTTTTTCTGGAACCTAATTAAATACATGCTAATAAATACAATATACTGTCCTTCATATTTCTTAAACTCACTTCATATTTTATAAATTTTCTCTTTTTGTGATAAATTCTCCATAATGTCTTCAATGTTACCTTCCAGTTAATGACTTCTTGCTAAATTAGTCCATTAAGGTTTTACATTTCCATTATAAGAGTTTATATTTATAGATGTTCTTTTTTGATCTTGTTACAGTATACTTATTCATTTTTATAGTTCTTTGTTTTTTATTTTTAATTCTTTGTTTGTTTCCTTAGACATGGATGTAGTTGTACAAATTCTCAACCTAAAAATTCCAAATGTCAGAGATACTATAGGTTAATTCTGTTGTTTTTGGTTGCCTTTGATTAGACTGTTATGGTTCTTGCTTTGTTTTTTTAAAATTTTGATTGTGAATGTATATGTTTTGTAACTTTATATGAGAGAATCACTTTAGACTCTCTACTTAGCATTTATTCACTCATGGTAGTTTCCCTTGAAGTCCTCAGAGATATTTTAGTTCATTATTTTACTGAGATAAAATCTTTTTGGGTCTCACTTTTATAGGGGTTTTCTAGTGCCCTTAATGTGCCAGATTTTTTTTTTTTTTTACAGTCCTCTAATCCCAGAAGATTTGCAAAAATAGGATTTAAGATTTTTACATTCTTTATATTTTCTCAAAGGCAAAGCTGGTTTAATGTTCCCTATATCTTTCTTGGTAAATGTTTTCATCTTTTACTTAATATCTTTTACTTTTTCACCAGTTCATTCATATATTTAAGAAAGTGTTTCTCAAATGCTATCTAGTAGTATTAGTTATTTTCAGTATAAAGTTCAGTCTGGGTGCTGGTCTGCTATCTTGCCAGAAATAAAAAATTCTTTTCTGTTCTTCAGTTCTTTAAATTTTTTGTGGCACTTAAACTGTGTCAACTTAATTGGCTTGGGAGCAACCTAGGGGATTAGAAAAGTACACTTCTGGGTGTGTGTGGGTACTATATATGGTCCTCGGCCTGTTCCTCTCTGGTGCTATTCTCCTGCTCTACTTCCCACCACTAAGCAGCTTTGAGCTAAGCAGCTTTGCTTTATCGCAACTTTCCACCAGATGTTTCTGCATTGGAGCCAGCTGATGATAGACTGACTCCTCTGGAACTGTGAGCCAAATAAACTTTAAATTGTGGCTGTTAGGTATTTGGTACCAGTGACCAGAAAGCTAACTAACACATTAGTATACTAATAAAATTGATAATTTGTCTTCTCCTGGCAATCTAATTACATTGCGTGAATATTAGACCTTGTGATGTTATCTCGTGGCTCTTTGATGGATTATTCATTCCAGCATTCCCCCCCCTCTATTCTTTCTTCTTTTGTTGTTTCAATTTGGATTTTTATTGATCTATGGTCAAGTTCTCTGATTCTTTCCTCAACCTTATCCACTCTGCTCATGAGCCCAACAAAGAATTTTTTATCTCTGGCATTGTAGTTTTTATTTCAACATTTAAATTTGGCTCTTTTTTTCAGTTTCCTTTCCTGAAATTTTGTTCTGTTAGTGTGAGTAATGCATGCTCTCCTCTTCTACACCCTTAGTCAGTTATGTTAAACTCCCTGTCTCCTCATTCCAACTTCTGGATCATCTCTTAGTCTGGTTCTATTAATTGCCTTTTTTCTTGACCATGAGGGTTTTTTTTTTTTCCCTGTTGTTGTTTGTTTGTATATTTTTTCCTCTGTGTTTTGTAAATTTTTATTGAATGCTAGGGATTGTGTGAGGAAGAATAGGAGAGACTGAGGAGTGGATGATGATCAGTGATCTTGCTCTGTAGAATCCCATGAATAATTTTTGGCCTCTCTAGGCTTCAACCTTAACAAAATGTAAACAAGTCCCAACTTCACAAAAATGTGTGAAACGTGTAAAATATAACACAGATTACACATTTTGGATTTTTTTCAAAATATCTTTTGGTATTTGAATATCTTTTCTTCTAACTTAAATGTCGTATATTTCATTAAAAATTAGTAGAATATAAAAACGTACAAATTAGAAAGCCAAGTGCCGCTATCTATTAAATTAAGCATTACTCCATCAATGAATAACATAAACCACAAAATCAATCTCATTATATTTAATATTTATAAATGGGCACATAAAAGGTGGTCTTCTGTTGTTTATTTTTTTAGTAGAAACAATACTTTGAAAAGGCGATTTAAAGAAATACCCTTACTGTGGCCCTTACTGTATATGGATTCTACATAGTAGTAGGAATCATCTCTTATTCTAGAAACAATTTAGAAAGTACCAAGAAAGGAGAAAACAAAGTATGCAAAAGACTCATGCTTTGAAGATGAATCAGATAAAACTTATGTGAAGAGGAGTTTTCTGAAGCTGCAGGATTCCTGGCCAGGATTCCATGCCCTCTTGCTTGGTCTTTTTAGGACCTGGGCAGCATTTCTTCCATGTCTGCAACGACATAAGAGACAACAGCCCAAACAGCAGCAGCAATGTTCATCTGCTCTGGATCCATGGCAGTCATGGTGTCTCCGTGGGAGTGATGGAACTGGAAATATTTATACAACATACCATCATAGAGACTGGCTCCTGTGGAGAGAAAAGAAAGAATCTGAGTGGTGTTTCTGACAGGCCCTGGTCAGAAAGCACTGTTACTCTCGCCCTTTCCCTCTTGTCTGCTCCTAATGTACTTGTCACACTGGGAAAATAATTACTTTCCTAGACTCTCTTGCAGCAAGAAATGGCCACATGACAACGTCATGCCTACGAGGATGAGTAGCAGGCTGTGGGAGAGTTCTAGGACAGCCTTTACTTTCCTGACAAAGACTTAGGAAAATGTCCCTAATGCTGCATTAAAGATAGATGAGAAGTTTTAAGCTTCAAGGGACAAAAAGCCCCTACACTAAAACCAATGGAAAGACAGAGGAGACTGGCTTTAGAAACACTGCTAACTACTGAACAGATTCAGCACTGCCTCCTTCTGTTCTTGCCATATGAGGGAAATACACTTTTATTTGTATTAGTAACCAACGCACAAGTCCTTGTATTCATAAAAAGAAAAGACAGCACCTTTTTGTATCTTTAATAGTGAGATAGATGTTCTTTTTGAATACAAAAAAAGTCAATACTACCCCTTTGCTCAAGTTTTCCTTCTCAAATCACACATTTACTCCTGCAGTCATGAAATCCCTAGCAACCTCCAAGGACAGGAGCAGGAGTCTCTGCCTCACTTAAAAGCTTTCTTCTCACTTTTACTAGTTTTAGCCTTGAATCGGAGCCTCGGGGAAACTTCCTGTCTTACTCATCCTTGAAAACTAGACCCATCTTGTGGGTTCTACCACAGTTCCTTAGCCTCTAGCAATTTGTTTTATTGTGAAATACACCACGGAAGATTGTAGAGAACATAAATGTATACTACCACTAGACAACATAAAATGTACATGTATGTCCCTAATTCAACCCGAGAAAGATACTTCCTGATGCCTGAAGCCCAATTTTTGCTCTCCTCTCTCCCATGTACATTATCTCTTTCTCCTACCGGTACCCACAATACTGTCCTGCTTGTATATTAATTACTCCTTGTTTTTCTTTGTAGTTTTATCAAGCATGCATAAGCATGCACACATGTACACAACTATGACTACAGTATTGTCAGTTTCTGAACTGTATATTCCAGACACAGTTATTTTTACATCTTGCTTTTATTTTCACTCAATATGTAAGATTTATCTGTCCTCATATAAGTCTTAGTGTTTTCATTTTTTTCTGGATTTTTTTTCTCATTGTTTTATCTATTTTTCCAACAATGGCATTTAGGTTTCTCCTGTTAATAAGCTACTATTAAACGTTCTCAAGAGTGGAGTTGCTGGGCTGCAGAGCAGGGGTGTATTTAATTCTACTGTGTAATTTCAAAATATTTTCCTTTTCAATGTATGCCTCCACTGTCAGTACATGAGTCTTTATCTTGCTTCACATCCTCTCCAGCACTTGGTATTATCAAAGAAATTTTTGCTACTCCAGTAAGTGTAAAATGTTACTTCATTATTATTAAAAAATTCTTATGGATATCAAGCTTATACTCTCAAATCAATTTTGTGGTGATTATATTTTCTGTTTTGTGAAATGCCTGTTTAGACTTTTGCCCTTTTCCAATTGATTTACTTGTCTGTTTCTTATTGATTGTGGGAGTTCTTGACATGCTGTCTTGGTTACTTTTCTCTCTTTGCTAAGACAAAATACTTGATGCCCAAAGTAAAGAGGGAAAGGTTTATTTAGCTCACAGTTTGTGGAGGTTTCACTCCATACTTGGCTGGCTCCAAGGCAGAGTGGCACAGGACAAGGCAGAGAACAATAGTTCCTGGCAGCAGAAAACAGCAAAAGCAGAAAGAGCAAAAAGGGAGGAGCAGCAGAGAGCAAGCCTCTTTCCTTCCCTTATATTGTAATGCAAACTACCTGCCCCAGGGTTGGTGTAGCACTTGTACCCATAATCCCAGCGCTGGACCATGAATCAATCATAAACTCTAGAAGCCCACTCCATGACTGCATGAGGCTTTGGGGGGACATCTAGACACAAATCATAACAATGTGTTTGATACTAATTTTCTGTTGGCATCAAAATTTAGATGTATAATTTGCCAGTTTGTGGCTCATCATTTTTTCACTAAGTGTGTATTTTGATGAATAAATATTCTTGATTTTGATGTAGTTGAATGTGTGAATTGTTTCCTTTATGATTTATTCTTTACATTTCTTTTTAAGAAATGCTTCCCTACTCTTGCATCATAAAGATACTGTCCTATGTTGTATTCTGAAAATTTTAAAGTTTTCAAGGTCTCCATTCACTTAGAATTAGGATGGATTCTTGTGTAGGATGTGTTTTTTTTTTCAGTTGTCCAGAAACATTTATTAACTAGTACATTCTCTTTCCTCATTAATCTGCAGCATCAGTTTTGCCATATATCAAGCTCCTTATTTCTGAATGCTTGGTTTTGGTGGATTCTGTAGCAGTGGTCTGTTTGCTGGTCTCTGTGGTACCACAACACTGTCTCAATTGCTGGTGCTTTTGCATCCTTGATGTCCGGTAGGGCAGGTCCCTGCCCCCACCTCTCCCTCTTCCTTTGGGAGTCTTCTTCACTTCTTAAGCATTGGTTCTTCCAGATAAACTTCAGAATCATTTTATAGGGCTGGAAATATAGCTCAGTGGCAAACACAAGGTCCTGAGTTCAATTCCCGGTACCAAAAAAACACCCCTCCCCCCCAAAAAAAACCAGACTCATTTATAATTCTACAAAGAAATGTTCTTGTATTTTGGCAGGATTGTGTTAATCTATATGTCAACTTGGGGAGGATTTTGCATCCTTTTTTCAGATATCGTCTTCTTATACACAAAATGGTGTGTTGGTGTGTTTCCTTTATTAAAGTTTTCTACAACATCTTTGAAGTTTCATAGCATAGCCTTGCCCACTTTTTGGTAGTTTTCTTTCCTTGACAGTTAATATCTCGTGTTCTTGCAAATCACAAAGTTTTTAAATATTTTCCCTTTCTGTATGTGATTATCTAGTTTTAGTGACAAGGATACATCTGATTCATAAAATGGAGCCCCTTCCTTTGTCTACATTCTCAGATAGCTTATGTAAGATTAAAATTACTTCTTGATTATTTTCTAGATCTGTTTTACAAAACCACCTAAGTCTAATGCTTTCTTTATTGGTAACAATTTTAACTAATGATTCGATCTTTTTCATTAAACTATTTAGGGATTTTAGACGTTTTAAATTAACTTTGGAGATTACATTTTGCTAGAAATTTGTGAGTTTTGTTCAAAATAATCAGGAAAAAGTGGCAAACAGCACCCTTATTTTTATTTTTGACAGTGACTGCCGCATCTACAGTGATGTCACATTTTTGTTTCTGGCATGGTTGCCAATGCCTTCTCTTTTTGGCTAATATAACTTGTCATAAAGTTTTCATTTTTATTGGTCTCTTGGAGGGAAATGATGACAACTCTGGGCTCTTTGGATACTTTCTATTATGTAGTAGCTTTTCTTTCATTGATTTCTTTTCTTAGAATATTTCCCTTCTTTCTTTGGGCTTGTTTTTTTTCCCTCTAATTTTGTGAATTGAATGCTCAGTTTATTACTTTGCAGAATTCCTCTGTCTCTAGCATAAGAAGTAGGACAATACTCTTCCCTAATACTGATTTAACATCCCCCATTCAGATTAGAACTTTCATGATTATTCAGTGCTCCAGAGTTATTAGTCCATAAGTTCAGGCTTTCCTTCAACTCATGAGTTAGCATGTTCTTTAATTTTCAAAATTATTATGTTTTATTATTTTTTACTATTCGTTTTTAATTTAATTGTCATATAGTGGGGGTTTTATGTTACAGATTCTTAGAATTTTGTTGAGATGTACTCAGTAGCCTATTATATTATGTGTTTTCATAAATATTCCATGTTTACTAAGTCAAAAGAATGTGCTAGTGGCGTTCCATGTATGTCCATGAGATCAAGCTTGTCAATTATGTTCTTCAAATCTTTTATCTCCTTTTTACCTTACCATCTATCTGATTTATCAATTTTTAGAGAAAAGTGTGAAATGTCCTTTTTTGATTTTGGATGTTTCCTTTTCCTGTAGTTCTAACAATTTCTTTTTAATATCTGTCATGGTTATGCTCTTAGGGGTACATAAATTTAGTATTCTAGCTTCCTGGTAAATTAAAATTTTATTAATGTGTAGTCCTTCTTTTCATACGTACAAATACCTTTATATTTAAGTCTTTCTTTTCATAATATGTGATATAACCACACCACACCTGCTTCCTTTTGTGGTGTATTACCCCAGTATGTCTTTTCCCATCATTTTACTTGTAAACTTTCTCTGTCCATGCCTTTTCAAGGGCTTCTCTTCTCAATACTTTATATTTGAGTTTTAAAAATATAATAGTCTTCAATTTTTAGCTGGAGGGAATAATCCATTCATGTAGATTGTAATTCTTGTTGAGTTGAATTTATTTATTCTATCTTAGTCTTGGCTCTTTGTTAATTGTGCTTTCTAAGTTTCTTCCTCTTCCCACTTTCTTTTCTTCTTTGGGGTTCATTTGTTTCCCATTGTAAATACCTCCCTCTTCCCAAGTCTAGTAGTTTGGAAGCTAAGTACTTCATTTCAAGTTGGTCAACAGAGAACTTGGACATTGCAGGTTACATATGTATATCAACAAGGCTAAAGTTAATCCATATTTTAAAGACACCAGGAGCCCCATATTTTGCACCTGTCCCAGATGAACTCACTGCTCCTTAAAACCCATGTTCTAGCCAAATGGAAGCTGGAACACAAATGCCAACCTACAAAATTTTCTTACTTCTCTAGATTCTCACTTTACCATTTTTTTATCTCCAAGAAATTCTCCTACTTTGCCTCCTACTAAGTCATGTATTATAAAAAGACAATTTTTTTTATCCAATAATTATTTGGAGGAGGAAGAGGGACCTCTCTTTCTTTCTTTCTTTCTTTCTTTCTTTCTTTCTTTCTTTCTTCCTTCCTTCCTTCCTTCCTTCCTTTCTACTTTAAAGAGAAAAAAATAATAAAA